TAGCTTATGTTCTGTATGAAAATAAATGCATAAAGAAATCCTCATCAGTTGGCAAAGTTAATCCTAAAAACAAAACTGTTACAACAAAATGGAGCACCGGCAAAAGGGTTAAAACTAAAACACCAGTCCTTCTCATTTTTAAGTCCATGTGTCTCTCATTTCATCCAGATGACGTACAAAATGTAATGTCTACTTGAACATCATTGAGTAGTTCTCTGCACTTGATGATAAAGTGACTCTCAGAACCATCTATATATATATATGGCCACTTCATGAGTTATATATATCATATATATTAAGTACAGTAAGAAAGGATAGATGAAGTACTTCATTCCTCATTTTTTGAAAACCATAAAAAAAGATATGATTTTGAACTTCATTTACCTGCTTGCACACCTCTACTACATGCTCAAAAAAGTGAAAAAAATCAACTACTTCCTCAAACTTTCTTTTAACAGTGGTAAAAAAAAACACTTTTGAAATAATCTACCAGACTGCATGTGTCTATATGTGTATATGATGCAAATGTTTGTGCCTCCAGAAATATTTTTTACAGACACGTGTTTAGAAAAATCATTTGCTTCTTCACATTACATTCAGTTTCCTTGTCCACAAACTTTAAAGTCTTTAATTGACCATGACAACTACAGACTAAGAAACAGTGTATGGATATAGCTTTGTCATCGATACAAAGCACACAGTATATGTCAGTATGACTTTCTACTAGATGAGTTGCCACATTTTTCCGCCCCCAGCTTTTAAACCCGACTTCTCAGAAACATTTCTACAGTTACTGTACCTTATGGGTAACAGTGCCTCACCTAGAACTAGGACGTCGGCAGAATGTACTGCGCCTGCGCAGAACCCTACATTTTCACGCTTTTCGGTGGAATTTTGGTCAACGTTGCATTAGAATTTTGCTTGTTGCAGATGATATTTTTTTCTGACATAACATTTGGAAACTACAGACGAGATGTTAACCTTATGTGCGCGAATACAACCTTATATGAGACGTTCTACTGATTCAGAAGTGCTATGTATAATACATTACGGGTGTCACACAGGTGCAGTACGTTCTGCCGACGTGCTCCTAGAACTATAACTCAGCAGTACAAAGTAGTTTATCTCTCAGGAGAACCTCTCTATCCAGCTGTCTTCCCTCCTGGACACTGAGAAAGTCTCCCGGCTACACAGACTTTATTTATAAGTAGGACGTGATGAATGGTTGCACGGAGGCAGTAATGGAGGGATGGAATCCCCCGCCGTGTCTGTTGGCAGGTTGTGAGAGGAGATAACGCATGTTATCCCCCGCACAGGAAGTAGTGGCGGGCTGGTCACTGAGCCGCGCTCATCCACACAAAGGTTAGGGACTGGACGCCTACGGGGAGGGGCAGGGTTTAACCAAATTTTTAAAGAAAATGGTGCAAAAGATGCTGATAGACTGTCATTTTACAGGTAGGGGCAGGGTTTAACCAAATTTTAAGAAAATGGTGCAAAATCTAGTGAGAATTTGAGACTTGCTTGTGATGAAATTTTAAGAAAATTGTTTATTTTTCCTGGAGGCACAAGAAACATGTTCCAGACTATTATCTAAGGCACCTACATGCAGGTAGGGGCAGGGTTTAACCAAACTTTTAAAGAAAATGGTGCAAAAGACCCTGACAGACTGTCATCTAGTGAGAATTTTGAGACTTGCTTGTGATGAAATTTTAAGAAAATTGTGCAACAGACCCTGGCAGACTTGTCATTTTACAGGCAGGGGAAGGGTTTAACCAAATTTAAAGAAAATTGTGCAAAAGACCCTGACAGACTGTCATCTAGTGAGAATTTGAGACTTGCTTGTGATGAAAAAAAAATTGTGCATTTTTCTGGGAGGCACATTGAGTAAAATGTTGAGCTTGTTTCAAGTATTTTGCTCAAAGAAAATGGTGCAATGGTTTTCTGAGGCACAAGTAGACCCTAACAGACCTGGCTTTAGCCAAATTTTAAGAAAATTGTGCAAAAAACCCTGACAGACTGACATCTAGTGAGAATTTTATTTATTCTTTTCAAAGGGACGGGTTGTCCGTAAACCTTTACGGACTGCTATCTCTGATTTGAGTTTGAGAATTTTAAGTGACTTGTAATGACTAATGTTCCAAGAATTTTGGGACCTGGTTTTAAGGAAATTTTAAGAAAATGATTCAATTTTTTTGAAAGACCATGACAGGCTGTCATCTAGGTTGAGGAAAATTGTGCAATTTAAATAACAAACCAGGACTGGTCATACTTCCTAACAAACATGTATCTCATCATTTTACATCTACCATAAAAGCTGATTTTTATTGTTTTATTAACAGTATGGCCAAGGAGGGTCTAGAAAATTGCTATTAGCTATCATAGGGTAGGGTGCTCCAAATGCAATGTCTGAAATTTGAAACAAGTTAACACTATTTACTGGAAAACATATCTATATAATATATATCTGATAATCTGTTTCCATATGAATAATACTGTAGGGATCATATATAAAAAATACTTAGTAAGCCTCTTTAATCTTATGGCCCTGCCCTGTGTATTAACCTTTAACAGTAGAACATGGCGGAGTAACAGTGCCTGAAGTATGGGCTCAGAGGCGGCTGTAGGAAGCTAAGCCATGGTGCCAGGGTTGATCCCTAATGTCTCTTCTTCAGCACTGCAGAGGTGTAAATCTACACAAGAAAACAGTTACTGAACAGCAACTGGATATACGATATATTTGAAAACTGTCAGATGTTTCAAGTGGCATCCAAGTTACTTTGCACTTAGTACTTAGGGAAGTTTTTCAAGCCTTATGTGGCAATCCTGACGAAAATGGTGTAGATATGCGCAAGAAAACAGTTACTGAAGCAACCGGATATATTCTGAAAACTGTCAGACATTTCAAGTAGCATCCACTACTTTTCACAACTGCCGAGGGAAGTTTTTCAAGCTTTTGTGGCAATCCTGATGAAAATGGCGTAAAGGAAAGCTACGCAAGAAAACAGTTACTGAAGCAACTGGATAGATTTTGGAAACTGCCAGACGTTTCAAGTAGCAATAATTTGCACTTCTACTGAGGGTCCAAGTGCTGATGACGGAACGATGACGCACTTTAACATGCCTTGAGCACCTTCGTTTGCACAATTTACAACTTCTTACATAGACTGAACTGTCAAAGAACATAGTTTGTGGAAAATGACAGCATTTGTTAGGCTATCCCATGGGGTTGAAGTCCCTTACACTTCAAATGAAAGACCTTCCAGAGAGACAATAACATCCAACATAGCCACAAGCGAAAGATTACGTAAAGAAAAATAATAAGTTTTCGGGAGTCCAGCGGCCAACTTTGTCCCTGAGGCCTTCCGGAATGACTGTTGTTGATGGCCTTGGTGCTGAAATATTGGTGTTCTGTATTTACAGACTGGATGGCCCTACAGATAACATGGGCTGATAACCAATACATGACTCTTACATCCAAGCCACATTCATCATACCTATAGTACTGGGGCTATACCAAATCATTTCCCTGGGTCCCATACAGCATTTTTGATCCAAAATCGTAAAAATGAAATGGGTGTAGCCGATCTTGTTTTCATCCAGTGGAAAGTAAAGAGTCAGTTGCCAGTTTTCCTAACAGCCCTCTGTTTTCATCATATCCTTTTGCTAAACATTTAGTACATAGAAACATTCTAGAACCAAGAAATTACATTGTTGTTGCCTCACAAATCCAGACACCTAGCCAGATTGCGTTAAAACAGACAGAATGATATGTTACAGGCAAGAAAAACGCATACGCGCTAAAACACCCACCGCAGATGAATACCCTGTACCGAAACCTTCCCACAACCATCCATAATACAGGCATAAACAGTAACATGACGAATGTTTTCCCCTCCAGGCTTTGGAAAATAACATAACAACAGTCACAAAGTCCCCATCTGTGGCTTACCTTCTCACATCGCCCGCGGAGCTTTTCCCTTCTGTGTTTTTCTGACAACGTTGCACAAATATTGAAACAACGCGCTTCTGGAGGGTTCCAGGGAACAAAGCAATGCGGGCCAGCCGAGAGAACTGAGAGTACAGGAGGTTATGTTGATATTATCAGCAGTACCTACAGGAAGCACATTTCTTATGAAAGCCCATGGGAGGGACCACTGCATTAATTTTGCTTGGAGTGTGTGTGTGTGGCACGGTGCCATACAAAACAACATACTATGAAGCATTATGAAGCAAGTTTAAACTGTAATATCCAACACAATAAATTGGACGTCACGGAAGCGGTGGATTGCTCATTCCTTGACAAAGACTGGAGTAAATTACAGTCGAAAATTTGGGTGAGTCCAATTTATTGTGATGGATATTACAGTTTAAACTTGCTTCATAATGATTTCTACCAACACACTATCTATGAACTTTCAAGATACTATGAAGCAAGTATAGGCTGTAATTTCCAACACAAAAAAAATGGACTTACCAAATTTTCGACTGTACAACTCCAGTCTGTCCAGAAATGAGCCATACACCACTTCTGTGACATTTACATTATGCAGATGACACCTCTCGGTGAGTAGTGGATCCTATTGGCCTAGGTTGTAGAAAGTCTGTGGCAACCCAAGTCCTTATGGTTTTAATGCCCTGATGTAGATGGCCTCTTAAATACGCAAAGATGTCTGGCTCTGTGTCTGCAATTTTCAATTGTGATAGGAATTACTGTAGTTTAAACTGCAGCTGCCTAGCAGCAGAGGTCGAGGAAGACCGAAAAAGACCTGGACAGAGTGTGTGAAGAGAGACATTAGAGAGCGTGGCCTTGCTGGTGTTAACCCACTGGATAGGGCTGCCTGGAGGTGCAGTGTGAAGACCAGTACTGCTAGCCGACTGCTGCCGACCCCTGTGGCAGGGACAACAGCAGCAGTATAATCTAATCCTGGATAGTGAGTGTGTGTGTGAGTAAACTTACTTTTATAATAAAAACTTCTAACAACACAGATAAAACAACTTACTGTGTGTGGAAAGAACCAGGCGAATGTTTGGCTGTGACAGGTGGGCAGAACCAACACCAACTCAGCAGACAGACACAACCAACTTCAGCGAGGTGTTCACGCCGTTACTGGCAGGGTTGTCAAATGGGCAGCCTGCAGGGAAACAGAGAACAAACATCAATTATTGGGTTAAACTTTAACAGATTTCAACAGAACATACAACAAGCTCAACAGGCAGATATAACAAACTTCAGCAAATGAACTTGAGGCGATGCCAGTCAAATGGATTGCCTGGAAAAAATGAATTAATGTTTATTGAACAGATTAAAATGAACATAATGAAGGACAAACTTGTCATGTCTTGCTCTTTGCAAATTCATGAAACTGTGATTGTGCATTAATTTTCCAATACCACTGTTTTATCCAGAAACTTAAAAAAAACCCAAGAACCCCTGACTTTGAAATTAAGTTAACATGAAAATAAAGGCATTTACAGTACACTGGCAACCTTGTGAAATGGTTAGCCGACTGAGAAAAAACAGCAACCAAACATCAATTATGGGTTAAGCCCACCTCAAGGTTGAACTGAAGCAATATTCTGATGGAACCTGGTCTGAATCAGGATAATCCATACATAACAAGCTGGAAATGTCAGTTGGGAGTATTATTCAGGGCTCAAAATATATTTTGGGGAATAGGAGCACTGGTGCACCTTTCCTCAAAAATCATGATGTCCAGAAATAATTAATTTTGTAAAATGTCAGCAAAACACAATTTTACAGAGTCCTTACTGCCTCTTGTATTTCAGAACTTGAATATGAGATTACTGTAGCTTTAAAGTTCAGAATTGTACTAAGCAACACTGTGTAACAACAAAGTTTTAGTTATTTTCTGTAATGATTGAATATCAATAGCACACTGTATACTAGCGAGCAATAATATTAGTACACGTGTACAAATTGTACCTTATGTTTGTAAGTATGTTGGACACCCTGAGTAAAAAATAAGACGCACAGCTCCAATTTTGGTTGAAAAAAAAATGCAAAATTTACTATCCAATATTTCCAGCCCTACGTGTATTTTAGTAGTGGCCAGTGCTGGGGAAGGGTCTTACATTAATCTACTTCATCAAAATGGGCTTTATCAAAAGATGTTTACTGGAATGGCATCAGGCATGTGGGTATAAAACAGAGGACGGCGTCGGGTCCTGTTTCAGCTCAGGGCAGGGTTCCATACGTGAACTTGACATTCAGACGTGTCACAAGGACACTCAATGTCACAGGCGGCTAGTCGCTTTTTGCCGTGGCATTTTATTTCTGGATACCGTCCAGCGTATGGATATAAAAGAAGTGGAAAATATGTGAAAGTAGGTGAGAGGTCCCATAGCCTTTTGGGGTGGTAGGGCCAGTGGGTTATTAAGCCTAGTTGCTTAGAACTATCGCAGAGTGGAACTCGCTGTCACCAAGTACAGTAGGGGCATTATCATTAGATAGTTTTAAACAATGTCTAGAGTTAGATGTTTAAGGGTTAGGTGTAACAAGTCGATCGGTGTAATATAGCCAGCTGCCGCCACGCTGCGTGCCTGCGAAGCTGGTGTGTTACGCCATAGGGCGGTTAATATAATACCAGCTATACTGATACAGATACAGAATCCACCCTAGTATTCAAGGGCACAGTATTGGAGCACGGAGCTCATCCCTCTCCTTCCACTGTGTTTTACCATCCCAACCAAAGTCTGGTACCCATAATTATACACCTGGTTGGGCTATAAAACAGCATATGAAAGGAATTTTTCAATGTTTTTAAGGTAAACGAGGATTTTGTGTAAGGCAATCTATAAATATAAAATGCTGTTAAGAAATTCAAGAAATTCAAAACAAAAACAGTATCCCATTGTTCAATCCCTGTAACACCCATGTAGCAAGACCACCCCTGGAATTAACATAAGTATAAAATATTGATATAAAAACATTCATTCCGCCATAAACCCTGCCATTTACTTGAAAGTCATTTTACCGAAGCTGGCATGTAATAATGCCAGTCATTACTGCTTGTATACTATGCCATCATAATTTCTTGGGACGCTGCCAACACAACCCATTCATTGATAGGGTCCAAGTGGAATGCCAATGACTACAGGCCTAGCTATAGGGTACTGTATCTACAGCATGTATAGGCAGAGGTAATGAAATTTGTGTTTCTTGTTACCCTACCAACCCTATCAAATACATGCAAACTCTAGGTTTCTGAAGGGATCGCATGCTGGCAAGGGACAAAAAGATTTTTGATGTGACATCTAATTGATGAAAACTTAATAACTTCTCAGTTAAAATATTAACCCTTTGAACTGTTGATGTCTGAATGACATTGTGTAGTAAACACTGTACTTCTTTGTTGGATGACTTTGACCAAAATAAAAATAAAAAAAACAGAAAATCAGAAATTTCAGACATCCAGGAAGAATTTGGATGTTTGTTTAATTGTGATTTTCAGGTTGACCCCATTTCCTGTGTTTGACCTTTTAACCTGTCATTCTGCCTTTCAACCTTCCCCACCCATGTGCTATCAACCTACCCTGTCCAGATAAACAAAACCATTAACAATTAGACCCAAAACATCAAAAATATTGCTGTTGTTGCAATTTGAACAAAGACACAATAACTCCTCAGAAGACATAATCCCTACCTTCCCTAGGCTTATTTTCTGAATTTTCCAAAATTTCAAATCTGAGAAACACAACATTGCCTTTCCCAGGCCCGTAACCGTTCAAGCAATAAGACAAGTTATCCTCGCGGAGGTAACCAAACATCCTGAGATCCAACAATTTTGTACCCAAATTTTCTATCCCCTGATCCAAGAAACACAACATTTTTCGAATTTTTTAAATTTCCCAAATTTCAAATCTGAGAAACACAGCATTGCCTTCCCCAGGCCAGTAACCGTTCAGGTGATAAGACTGCGTTATCCTCGCGGAGGTAACCGAACATCCTGAGATCGTTGCAATTTGATCAAAGAAACAATTATTTGTACTTCCCAAGAAGACAGAATCCCTACCTACCAACCCAAATTTTCTATTCCCTGATCTAAGAAACACAACATTTTTCGAATTTTCGAAATTTCCCAAATTTCAAGTCTGAGAAACACAGCAATGATTTCCCCAGGCCCATAACCGTTCAGGCGATAAGACTGCGTTATCCTTACTGAGGTAACTGAACATCCTGTTAGCTCTCCGTCCTTGAACGTGACCCAGGCGGGGGGAATGCGCATGCGACGCGCTGGCGGGGGGAAATTGAAAATACTTTAGCACTTCCGCTACACGAGACGGCCGTCAAACAACCAACCGGTGTGGAACCATGTCAGGGCTCCAAATATATTTTTGGGAATAGGTGCATGTTGTCTCTCTGTTTGTCCAATTTCTACTCTTTCCAGACACTTTTGAAGCCTGGTAGAGGCTGGCTAAACGTCCCAGGCTGATTATTTTCCCTATTTGGCTACATTCTTATGTTTTTGAACCTGTGTCAGGGCTCGAAATTCATTTTTGGGAATAGGTGCACTGGTGCACTCAACCTAAAAAATTAGGTGCACAAAATTGGAATTTGAATAAAGATTCTAAAAAACTAATTTCTATGATGATTTTTATGGATTGCAAAAAAAAAAGAAGATCACTTTGAGCCAGTTTTTTAAGAACGTGAGTAATACAATATAGGAGCCAAAGACCAGAGAATGGGATTGAGTAGCCTCCAAAGCATGCCAAAAACTGGGGGTTTTAGGGGTCTTCATGGTCTTTTATATGTGCTATTTTCTGATTGCATATAGACAACATAGCCGGCCTGGTTGAATTACCCCCGTTAGAACTGGGCTAATCAGAAAACAGCCGAAGACCACCAAACCCCAGTTCTATATATAAGCCTGCTACGGAGGCTAGGTATTGAGGTAGCAGGATGAAGGATGCCCTCTAAAGCCGTGCTGCCCACTCCCCTGCCAGCCAGCTCCTCTGGGACCCTGGTTCAACCTGGAATATTCTCTCCACAAACCCTCAAGGTCACGTTCCCCTGTACCACAAACATATTCCCTGATCTCTGGGGCCAAACCAATCAATGCACGACATATGGACTGCCTGTTGGGCACACCCACCCAGAGATGTAGCAAACTTTCATGTCCAAGGCTGGAAAATATTAACCTTTAACTTAACGTTTAAGTTTAAGTTTTCTGACACTTAGTAATTTGTTTGTTGTGTAACACACCTGTATTACTGTACCATAAGTACAAGCTAGGTATGACCCAGAGCTGTAGCAAACTTTTATGTCCAAGGCTGGAAAATATTTACCTTAAAGTTTTCTGACACTTAAGTTTGTAATTTGTTTGTTGTGTACAGTAACACACTAGTATTTATGTACAGTAAGTACAAGCTATAGGTAACATTCGTGTCCATAATATCACCAGGGTCCATAAAATCGCCGCTTTGAGAAATAGTGTGCTTAAAGATATTTTTACTGCAACATACCCTAGGTATGTACATTTCAGGTGTGCAGGAGTGCATACCAAAAGTGTTGCAGAAAAAATATCTTAAAGCACACTATTTCTCAAGGTGGCGATATTATGGACCCTGGTGATATTATGGACACGGATGTTACATGAAGGCAGGACTTCTGATGTCTACCTGGACCTATTGTGCACTTGTTTCTTAATTGTTTGCAGTTTGATATATTAACTTCATCAAATTTATTTCTCATGCAAGTAAAATTTTTCATTGCACTGGCTTTCCGTTGTCACTTAGTAGGTTTGCCAATTTTAAGACCCAATGTACATGTACCTCCACTCTAAAGTGTGTAAAACCCAGCCCCACACTGAATGGGCTGACTCAGGCAGACTGTGAATGGATGCTGGTGCTACGATCAATGACTCTGACATGCCCAATACACATGAATCATTACCAACCTGCACACACAATTTTCTCAACGTATCTGGGTGGGGATCGTGCTTGCAAACACCCAAAAAAGTTAAAGATAGATTCTTGAAAGTGATATTCAAGACATCAATGATTTTAGGAATTTAGCGGCAAGAAGCAGAACTCCAGTCAGAAGCTCTGAGTCTGATAAAGGTGTCTGAAACGTAAGCAGTATAGGAATAGTTGTGTAAAAGAAAACCCCTAT